ATGCCCCTCCCCCCATCCTACCTGACATGCCTCCCCCATTCCCATAAATGACATGCATACACTTTAAAATGCCATTTTGTGTCTGTGATAAAAAGTTTAGTTACATTTGTCCAGCAAACCAGAACTATTGTCATCCTTCTGTATTGGGCTGTATGCCTCGCTTTAAGCTTGCCGATGAACTAGCCGAAATTTGAGTCATGCTCGACAAAAGTAAATTTTCCAATCGACTGTTGTCGACGGAACAGTGTCTTCAGCCAGTCATACGCAGGCACTGCCCGGATGGATGAATATTCAGCGCCAGCTGGTAATAACAATAGCCGCAGCGGGAGATTCGTCCATTCACGCTGTTTAGCGGGCCAAATAAATGAAATCTATTAGTGTATGGCCTTATATACGAAAATGTACAAAGGTGACAGGGACATTTAAAAAAAAAAAAGGATTGTCTTTATTTTATTATTATTATCTTTATTTGAAACTTTTGCATAAAACAGGTAATACAGAATACCCAATGAGGGTGGAGAGTAGGACCTAAATGTAGGACCTAAATACAAAGGGATCCCAATGAGCACCTTAGAGAGGATACAGCCTTATTATATTGATATTAGACTATACATGCAGATACAGACACAGGGATCTGTGTGTGAACATATGCACAAAGCGTGAACTGGATCTATTAAATGATATTAGCAGCTTCTCGATTGTATGCACATTGTCACCAAATCCACAGTTTGATGCCAGTTCAATCACACTGTAAATGCACTTTTTTTTTTGCGTGCATCATTACAAAAACCCTGTTAACAAATAAAGTGAACCATGAAATCACAGCCCACAAAAAGATGCACAAGGGTGCTTGGTCCTCGTCCCAGAAATAGGGCCACGATGTTCCTGTACCCCCCCCTGGGACACAAGGCTCCTGACGGGCAAGTCACTCTAGTCCACCTAGCGGTTAAGCCAGACGGACCCCAATTGTAACAGAGCCGCCAAAGCCAGTCTTCCAAGAACTTGATAGCGGCTCTCCTGAAGATAGACCCCTGAGTGGGGGAAGGAAAAAGACCCACTGCCATCCATTTGCATAGTTACCAACATTTGAAAACAATTTCCAGGAACACCTTTTTTTTGTTGTGCGTCCAAAAAGCCATTGTAGGCTTAGGGGAGGGGAATTAATTTAAATATAGTTCTGCAAAAGACATATCGTCAACCTACTGTACAATTTAATTTTAAAATAGTATAAATACAGGAACATTTATATTAATGAGTACAGAAACACAGCTTAGAATGCATTGTTCATGAATAAAATGAAATATGTATTTGTTAAGCTAACTAGAACTCCTCCCATACTCGCCTCCAGGACTTCTCTAGAGTCTCTCCCATCCTCTGGAACTCTTTACCCCAACCTGTCCATCTATCTCCCGCCCTGACTGTCTTTAGGCGTTCCCTGAAGACTCTTCTCTTCAGGGAAGCCTATCCCACCTCAACCTAACCACTGAACCATCACATTCTCAAAAAATTCATCCCCACACAGCTACCTCCTCATGTATAATTTCCCCCTCCTCTTTCAGATTGTAAGCCCTCAGGGGCAGGTCCCTCCTTACCATCCTGTCTTGAATTGTATTGTAATTGTAATGTCTTCCTTACATTGTAAAGCGCTGCGCAAACTGTTGGCGCTATATAAATACTATGTAATAATAATAATAATATTCTGTCCATTCTATTTAAAGTGCAGCAACCCAGAAGCACCGGCAGAGAATACAGCGATAATAAACACCAATTACACTGCAAACACATTTGGCACAAAATATGCCAAAAAAGTCATGTGACACTAACTGTCCTGCTGAGTACTGCGACACCTGTTGCGGCTGCTGATTGGTTGAAGGTTTTTGTAGGTGGCAAAATTCTGTGTAATAAAACTATTTAGGACTCCGATGCCCAGATTAACCCCTTCGTGACTGACGACGTACAGTGTACGTCGCCAGCATCGGGGCTGTTTAAACAGACTCCCGGCGACTTTTGCCGCCGGGACTCTGTCTAAACTTGTAGAGCCGACTGTCGGCTTTACAACAGAAGCGATCCTGGCGACTTACCTGTCGCCAGATCGCTTCTGCGTCCCGAAGAAGGGGCCGCCCCCCCCCATGATGTACAACATAGTGAACGCAGAGCAGGGGTCAGGAGTATAATGTACAAGATTGTGTATATAGTGCAGGAATCAGGAGTATAATGTACAGCATGGAGTATACAGTGTATGGGTCAGAAGTATAACATACAACACAGAGTATACAGCGCAGTTGTCAGGAGTATAATGTACAGCATAGTTTATACGGTGCCGGGGTCAGGAGTTTTTTTTTTTGGTTTTTTTTTCCATCCTCGTCATTAGATTTATTTTTTTCAACAGTACATAATAATAATTTACAGTCACATAATTAATAATATATTTTACGACAACATAAATATACATCCACACACAAACAAACAACATTTAAAATACTGCTAGTCTCACTACTTGGTCCATATTTTAGCATTTACATTTCATAGTCAACCCCGAACAATCTTCAGATTAGCTACTCACATGACCCGCCTAACACCCTTCTACCTCCCCTTTATACCGTGATACTTCTAACTCTCTATATTTATTATTTCATGTTAATTAATTTTTGTGCATTATTTAGGTGTTTTACTCTTAAATATATAACTTTTCCCAAATTGTATTTTATAGTCTATAGTTTATATACATATTGTATATTACTATTACATATCCTCTCTTTAATCATTAGATCACTCCCCCTCTACCCCGTCTTCTAGTGATTTTAGTGAATTTTTATTTATTTATAATGTGTTTCCCCCCCCCTATACCTTCACTTTGAAATCAAATCTCTATTATGATGAACATTAACGTATACTATAAATGCATTTAGTGATCTAAGTGGAGCCAAACCAGGCATAGAGAGCCATGGGGACCATATTTTTCAAAATTTCCCCAAACATCCTCTATGTATAAAGATCATTCTTCCTTTCAATAATATTTGGTTAACCTGTATACACTACTCCTCTAATGTGGGTGGCCTAGGAGACAACCATCTAAAGGCAATCAATTTCCTTGCTATACCCAGCAATCTTGTTATAATGTCACCAATCCCCCCCACACTGTCCCTCCCCCTCCTCGCAATTCAGTAAACACAGCCTGGGATCCATCTCCAATGAGATGTCAAACACTTGATTGATCAATCTAATAATACTATTATCTAATAATATTTAGTTACTTCCCAGTACCTAAATAATTTGCGACATCTCCATAACATATAGATCAGGTTGGCGTTAATGCCTTTACATCTAGGGCATTCCCCTGTATCTCGTCTACCCCACCTAAAAAGTTTCTGAGGGGTATAATAAACTCTATGAACTATAAATAACTGGGTAAGGCGCTGGGTAGGCGAAAGAGATGATCTAGGGATATTTGCCAATATAACTGATCATTCTTCATCTGAAAATGGGGTCAGGAGTTTAACATATAACTTAACGTGTACAGTGTAGGAGTCAGGAGTATAACGTACAACATAGAGTACACAGTGCAGGGGTCGGGAGTATAATGTGCAACATAGCTTTTACAGTGCAGGGGTCAGGAGTATAATGTACAGCATAGTTTATATCAGGGGTGCCCACAATTTTTGTGTTAAGATCTACTGTTCAAATGACAAGCTACATGAGATATACCAACAAAAAAAACCTCCCCTGGATGTCTCTCCTTGATCTCTTGGCTGTCTGTCCTTGCTCTCTCTCCTGGCTGTCTCTTTTTGCTCATCCTCCTGGCTGTCTCTCCTCTCTCTCCTGGCTGTCTCTCCTCGCTCTCTCTCTCCTGGCTGTATCTCTTTGCTCTCCTGGCTGTCCCTCCTCACGCTCTCTCCTGGCTCACCTTGCTGTATGTTGCAGACAGTGTAGTGCAACAGGCTGTGTAAACTAATATTCTTTGATGTAATACATAGCACTTAAACCACCAGTATCCACCAGAAAGGTGTCAGTGAGCTTGGCTCAGCAGACTCAGGCTAATAGGTAATCCTGTGTGCACAGCTAAATAAATATACCAAAATGGAATAAAGGGGCCACCATTCACACCCTTCGTGATCTACCAGCATCAGCTTTGAGAGCTACTGATGGATCACAATCTACCTAATGGGCACGCCTGGTTTATATGGTGCCAGGGTCAGGAGTTTAACATCTTAACA